TTCACTTCAGACTCTGTGTCCAACTTAAAGGTCACATTTGTCCCTTCAACAATTATAGTTTCAATCGACTGTTTTGCAGACGATGTTGAGCATACAGTTTTATTTTTTTGGACATTTATGGAATTCATGAAGAATTCATCATTAGATTCACTATATACATCTGTGTTATCATGCTGAGAAACATTTTGGACATGTTTCAGTCTACACATAGTTGAAAAGTGATTAAGTTTACCACAATTAAAGCATTTTTTCCATATGCCGGACATTGTCCATTAACGTGATGTCTGTTGCATTTTTTACACAAAAACATCTCAGTATTTGAAGCATCATCAAGCCATCCCCTGTGCTTCCTGACTGCTACAGCTGCATTGGCTCCTCCTGCCTGTTGTTGTTTCACTTTCCCTCTAGTTACGCTGTTAATATTCTGTTCTCTTAATGTTTGAGCACGAGCTTTGCTCAATTCAGCAGCTTTTCCTAAATCAATTGCTTTCTCCAAACTCAGATTATTTTCTCACAGCATCCTCTCCTGTAAACTGGTATCTGGTACTCCAAGGACAATGCGATCATGTACGACAGAATTACTCTGCTCACAAAATTCGCAAGATTTTACCAGTTTTTTTCAGGTCAGTCACGAAACAATCAAAAAGTTCCCCTTCTTGTTCTCTCTACCACGACATTTGTTCTAAGTGTTGTGAAAGCTTCAAACCTTTCAAGCACTTTTTCATAGTTGCCCTGAACTCCTAGAGCGTGTTAAACACTTCAGCTGCTTCCTCACCAGTGACATTTAAAAACGAAGCAACTTTCACATCTGAATTTTTTGAAGCGTTTCCTGAAGCTTTCATATAAATCTGGAACAGCTGCTTGAATCTGCGCCAGTTTTCGGCCACATTGCCATCGAAAATTAGGCCCTGTGGAGGGCGACAAAATTCCATCTTGCGTCTGCTGAGAGGAAAAACAACCAAAGGGATTGCCTGGCAATTGGTTGTAATACTACTCCACATGACTACGTCATGTTATAGTCATATTAATATTACGTGATCAATAAATAAGTGACATTATTACAGGATCACATAGCACATTGTTTATTACAAACCAACATCAACTGGCGATTATTTCAGTTCAGTTCAACAAGCAACTAGTGTATTGCCACATATATATAACAATCCATATACTGTTAAAATTTGCTTTGAGGAACTACACAATGATATTTTTTTCATTTTTACATCATTGGGGGAAGCGAATAAAATTTACAGACTTATCACTAAAATATTATAGCTAACCACAGCTCACATCACTTGCGCTGATACAAAATACAGTCAAAAGTCTAATCCGGACTCGTCGGGACTTCAGTGTTCTCTTCAGTGATTCCGGATTATTGGTTTTTCCAGATTATAGATCCTCAGTTTAAATCTGGTAAGATGGCATGCAGAATTTATAAAATTAAAAATATGAAATCATAATTTATGAAATAAAGAGCAATTATGATCTAAAGGGTATAAAAATTTACAAAAAAAAAAGCTTAATATTTATTTGTTTACTTTATTAAACACTTCTTTGAACGCGTGCATCCATAAAGCATACATTACGCATAGTCGAAATTAGAAAATTCCAACCGGAAAACTATTTGATGTGTATTCGTGATATTTATAATGACGAGGAATTTGATTTAAATCACATCAAAGACGGAGTACATCCAGATGAAATACTACATTTAGTAAGGAATTATAAGCTGAATAAAATAAAAACATCTGCCCTGAAGATAAGGATAGTGCTGACAGATCAACTTTCAGTTCATTGCGCGTCACGACGTCCCCCCCCCCGCAGAGCAGCGTGAAATTGATTTTTTGCAGCAATTCCACTTTTTGTTTGATGGACATCGAAACATGCTTTTGCTTTGTAGTTCCTTTGGCAGCTTCAGAATCGGAACTTCTTCAGTTCAAGCTTACTTTTATAAAATTGCTCTAACAGTCTGCAAAAAATAATAAGCCAGATCCAATTAGAAGATTAAGGAACAACGCAATCTGCAACATTAACTGAAATAGATAATTTTAGCCTAGCTTATACTGTGCGTTATGCATTAAACGCGCATGCGTAAAGGTATTATGTGCATGCGTGGAACGCATTGCGCATGCGTAAATGACGCACGCACAGAAAGTTTGTGGCTTTGAGGTTGGATTATAGCTTTGAGGTCCGGATTAAAGACTTTTGACTGTATAACAATCTGATTCCTTGATTGAATTTGTGAGCTGCTAAACTGTGATAGGTTCATGCAAATAAGATTTTAAAAATCCTTATAGTCGTGGTAGGATTAATAGCTTCTTTAGAACTGCCTAAAGTAGCGGTAATGAGGCGTAATGTCCAGCCTAAACATATTATGCGCCTAACATATTATGCCTAAACATATTATGCGCATGCATAAACGCATATGCGAGTGCATAAAGATATTATGCGCATGCGTAAATGCATAATGCGTTTACGCATGCACAGAAAGTTTGTAGCTTTGAGGTCCGGATTATAGATCATCCAGGATTATGGACGTCCGGATTAGACTTTTGACTGTACTACTAAACACACTCTTCCAATATTAGTTTATTATCATAAAGTTGTTAGTTTATTATCACATATATCATTAGTTTATTATCATATTCCAATATAGTTTATTATCATATCTCCAAGGAGAAAGACTCCTTGGAGTAGTTTATCACTGACCCATAGATTAAACCCAATTTTGAGCTACCATATGATTCAAGCACTTCATTTATTATAATGACAGTCATAAATTTATTTTATATTAATAACAAATCTGATTAATATTGATACAATCATATACCTTGTCAGCTTTTATCCATATTGGTATTCGATATACAGGCAATCATTACTATGTGGTTTCGTCATGGGACTTTTCTTATTATACATTCATACCTGCCAACCTCTAAAGATAAAAATTCAGAAGATTTCTTCCCCAAATTCAGAAGATTTCTCCAAAATTCAGAAGAACACGAAGAATTAATATCATGCTTTGATATTAAAAAAAAAAAAAAAAAAAAACCAATTTATACAAATAGAAAAAAGAAAATTGTACTTACATTACTAAATCTCAATTAAGTAGTAACTAAAAAATTTATTAGGAAACATAAAACAAGAACTTAATGTTACACAAAAAAATTATTGCAATGAATTTAGAGAGCATTTTTTGGCTTTAGCCAAAAATTCTTTGGAAACAATTAGTTTCCTCATAACATTTAGCAATTAAAATGTTTTCTAGAGTTTTTGGTGAAATTGAAGAACGAAACATAGTTTTGTTTTTCTTCACAACACTGAAGACTCTCTCACACTCAGCATTACTGTGTGGAATTACGAGAATAGCACATAAAACTCTTGCTAGTCTATCGTATTTTGGTGTTCCATCAGCTCTTTTTATTCTTTTTAAGGTACCAATGAGGACATCAAGTCTATCTTCTCCAGAACTGGCAAAGTCTTCAAACTGTGCAGCAGAAAATTGGTTCTGTAGTTCATCTAAAGCATCATTATGGCATTCATTTTCTTTAATTGTTAACAAAAATGGAAATTTATCAATAAAAAAACGAATCTTTTCAAAAGATGAATTTTCAATTTGTTTCAAATTTGCCACTTCAGCATTTAAAAGAACTTCATTTTGCCAAGGAAACTTCCTTACAATGTAATCACAGGCTGAGGAAAAGTACTTTCTGACACATTGAAAAAATTATTTTTTCTCATGATCTTTCAAAGAATTTACAAGTCCTGGTTTGATATTTCTGAGCAATCTTGGAGTCCGGAAACATCCGTCTGAAAAGTTGACCGGCGCAGCGCTTAGCGGCACGCTGTGTTCGATGAGGAATGCAGTAAACAAACACTCTGCCAAAATGACATCGGCATCCGAATTCGTAGTCGAATTTGAAAAAAAAATCATCCACTTTCTTTGACGTTGTCAAAGCCGAAGCATTAACTTCATGCTTTTTAGACTTAACATGCTCCACAATGTCGCTTCTTCCACCGTGACTTATTATGAAGTCACACACGCACACATTGCAAAATGCAGTTATTTCCTTTGAAGGATTCTTTAATTGTTCGGCTTTGTAGGCAGCCGAAAATATTGAGAATACGGTTTTTTTGAACTCATTTCGTAACAACGACGTATTAAGAAAATTTGTAGCACGTGAAAAAAAAAAAAAAAAAAAAGGATGCGACAATCCACGCTTGCTGAATCCGAGCTGAGTAATTCCACAAGTTCAGCGCAGATTGGCTGGTTTAGCGGCGAGTTGGGAGAAACCGCAGGTTACTGGATTAGAAGTAGTCGGTAGTTGGCGGTAAAACACGATGCAATTGGCGAAAATCGCTGAATTGGCGAAAAATTCTAAAATTTCGACAAAAATCACTAAAAATACTTGAAAAAGGAAAAAAATCGTAAAAAATGGATTACAATTGTAAAATCGTAAAGACAAACGCATTTTCGTAAAAATTACGAAAAATTCGTAAAAGTTGGCAGGTATGTACATTAACCTTCGACATAATAATGTAAAATAAAACATGATTATCCCTTGGAATATCTGTACTCATATTAATATATTACAATATACACAAGTAATTACTGTAGCTATTAATATTAAATATCCCTTGCAGAACTTGTTGATTATACTATATCTTACACCATACTGTCCATGCTCTTTTTCCTACATTATAACTTTTAAATGATATAAGAAGTACCTTATCACTCATTCAGTGGCTGCAGAATTATCAAGGTAATGTTTCGCACAAAGTGTTATGGTGATAAACAGATAAGAATCATTGTGATTTTTTGTACTATGTCCATTTAGAGCTGAAGATGAAAAGCATCCCCATTACTTTTGTTAATGAATTCAAAGTTTTTTTTAATGAATTATTACTTACTCATACCAAAGTTTGTAAATATTATGCAAATCCTTACAATTGTAACAATTATGTCATACAATGGCATGGACTAATTTAATTAATTTCCTTACCTTTGACAGATAAAAGTGCACTTCTGGAGTGCACAGATGAAAATCCTTCACTTTGGATTTCACAAGCATAGTAGCCTGCATCTGAAGGAGCAACATTACGTATTAATAACGTGCCATTCTGTTCATTTAAGATAATGTGATTGCCACTATCTTTGATGTAATTTTCATCTTTCAGCCAAACAACAGAAGCAACAGAAGTGTTGGAGTAAGTGCACTGAAATTTGGCATTTTCACCTTCATTTACCGTCAGATCCAATGGATGCTTAATTATTGTAGGAGCAGCTTTGGTATAAGAAATGAAACAAAAATTATTTCAAAAATGCATTTTATTTGTAAAATATGAATCATGCATTAAAACGGAAACCTTAATAAGCTTTTAGCAATGCTTTCTAATTACAACATTTCCTAAAAAAGCCAGAGAGAAACATTTGCAAACATTGTACAATTTAAGGTCCAAAACTTAGTGTATTAAAAGTTATTATTATGCTTCCCAAGAGTAATTAAGGTGAAATTTTTATTTTCTGTGCTGAGAATATATATCACATTCATAAAACTGTACAATATTTTCACTGAATTTTAACAATATAAATAAAAAGTCCTAAATATATTTTTCCAGTTAAAAGACTTCTGTCAATATGATACTTTCACGTATAGAAAAATAAGTAAGTAATGTGCATAGATTTGAATGCTGTAAAAATTACATCTAATATGCTTAGCTAAAATTTAACACAACTTGAGACTTCTAGTTTGGAAAGAGAAGAAAAGGACTGTTTCGGAAATTTCGTATATATATGTTTACGCTTAAACTTTAATAAAAAGGAAATTTAACAATCCAACAATGACAACACAGCATATACATGCATGCATGCAACAAAACTTTAAATTACATACAAGAAAATCAAACAATGAAATAATATCATAACATTTTTTGGTACACTGGCATTAGACGGCATTTGCTGATACAGTCCCAACAATCTATTGGCCCCTTTTTGTCATGAAATATTTTTCAATTTCAGTAGACTGAACAGACTTTTCATTGCCAGCAGGCATTATCTGGAATTGCAACAAGCAGATTGTTATTCTTTGGAGCTTGTTTCCACATGAACTCTATAAAATAAGGTAAGGATTTCCGTTGAAAAAATTTCCAACTTTTATTCTAACACTTTGTTTGCAACTGTTAACATTACATTACCATATCATAGCTTCTGTCATGTATAGTTTCACTGCACAAAACGGGGAACACTCATGAATTTTTACTGAAATACCATATGCCTGGAAAAACTGATTGCATCTACTGAATTTCTCAGTAAATCTATAACTGCAAAATGTAGTAAAAATTAGCATGAGACAAACAAGCATTGTTCTGATCACTCTTTGCGGGAAAGGGGTAACAAAAAAAAAAAAAAAAAAAAAAAAATTATGGAATACATATATGCTTACTCTAACTGATCTAAAGTTGATGTTGAAATAAGAAAATAAACCATGCCACATCTTCCTTTGCCATTAAAAAGAGAGAGGCAGAACATCCTTTCCATTATCAAACCACATGCAGCAAATATTTTTCTCTAGAAAGATTACAGCAATTTGATACTTTAAGCTGGAAAACACACTTCAGTCATCAACTCACTCTGACTATGGCAAAATTTTTTAAACATACGAAATATATCTCTTAGTAAAATATTTCAATAAATGAAGAAAGAAATAGTATAAAACACTTTAAGAACTTTCTTTGTACTGACTTAGCTTACTCTGAAAATAAGAACAGTTCTAAAAGTTATGAAAAATTAATTTACTAAAATGGTAGCCAATAGGCAACAGTGGAATACATGCCTTTGCAGAAAAATTTTTGCAAAAGATGTCCTACAACAGATATGTTTCTATTAAGGAAAAAGGAAAGAAAAATAAATAAAAAACTGAAAATTTTCCGAAAAGTTAGAAACACCTTTTAGGTTTGCCTCAACACTCACATGACAGCCAAGTCATGAGTGATGTTACTGGGAAAGTATCCGTAGATGTCGGCTACCACCAAACCAATTTAGTATTTCAGTGGAAGTTTTGAAATGCTATAATTTAGCTTTTTTCTTTGAGGTGTGAGGGGTGGATTAAAGGTAAAATTGCTTAATTTAAGACATTTACAATTCTGTTTTCCTCAAAATCTCTGTTGACTCTATCTTGGTTAATCTTGCCCCCTTACATCTACCATCAACTAGTTTCTCTTTTATACTGCCACTGATGATGCCATAAATAAATGTTTAAATATTCCAAAGCAGAGATTTTATAGCCTGCAATAACTTTTATCACATTGCTACAAATTATAAATATAAACATAAATGCTAGAAATTATATTTATAATTTCTTTACATTATCAAACAAGTCACTGAAGTGTGATAAATTGTGTAATATTCTTAATGATGAGAAATTAGATTATTTATATTTTTAATTAACATCTAGAAATTATATTTATAATTTCTTTATGTTATCAAACAAGTCATTGAAATGTGATAAATTTTAATATTCTTAATGATGAGAAGTTAGATTATTTATATTTTTACTTAATATCTTTCTCACTTTGTTATATCTCATAACATGAAATATAAATTAATTCATTAATCTGATACTGAAAACTCTTGTCTATGGTGCATTTACAATGTTACTTTACATCTGTGTATCTGTATCCAACAATATTTTATCTTACACACAGAAACTTTTAATTATGCACTTTAATACAAAGCAATATTTTAAAATTTAAAATGAAATAAATTCAGGATTACTGATATTAACAACTACAGAAGTAACCTATTTATACTATTACATCGTGATGCTTACCTGAAACGGTTAAAGAAAAGCTAACTTTTGTAGAGGCTGCAATATTTTCTGCATTGCATTTGTATTCACCACCATCAGCTTCTTGGACTTCAGTAAAAATTAGTCTCATATCCTCAACATAAATATGACCACTATCATTAATAACATGGCCTTTCGGATTTTCCCACCACATCCTGGGTTTAGGCAGACCCTTGGGTGCAAGACACATGACATCATATGGGTCATGAACAGTGACATGCACATCATGTACTAGTGGTTCCAATGAGTCTTCAGTTAATGAATCTAAAACTGAAAAACAAATCAATTTTCTATTAAGCAATTTAAACATCTAAGATTCTGAAGGAAAATTTTTACAGACAAAGTGATTTTCAAATATATCTGTTTCAGAACATGTGGATCTTTGGAGCAACTATGATAAGCTAACCTACAATGTTAAACTTAATAGCCTCTAATACAATGACCCTCATTAGTTTCATGTCTTTTCTAAGCTTATGTGTCTTCTTTTTTATGTATTATTTTCTCATGGTCCATTCTTCATTATAGTGATATCCCATCTGCTTTTTTTAAACTTATATTTCATTCACAAATAAGTTAATTATTTTCAATTCTCTCTTGAATGAAAACAACACTTCTGTTCTTTCAAGAAAAAGAAATTTTACCATACACTAGGCTTTGAAAGAACAGGAAATTAAACTTTTCAATGAACTTGCATAGCCTTGTACAGGTAAATAGCAACCCCCTTCTCCCAAAAAAAGAAAAACAGTAGTTTCATGAACCAAAAATTCCTTTTTTGACTGTAATATATTTTATCCTTTGTTATTTGGAAGAAATAACATCAGTCAAGCGGTATTGGGGTTCAATTATAGTAAAATTCCAAAACTCTTCACCCATGGGAATCAAGAGTTGCAGATTAGTGAACTTTGTGTAATATAAAATCATGATTTTCAGAATTTTATTTACACTTTTCACTTTTGCATTAAATTCAGAATTAAGCAAAGCATACTCGTTCTTTAAGAAAAATTTAAACAAGATTTATTTAAAACAAATTTATTATGTTTTAAATACATCTATTTCTACACCTATAAAAAATATTTCAGTGCAAGGGAAATGTAGTGGAAAGTAAATGGGATGAGGGACATGAGGAAAAAGTAGACCTTTTTTGTAAAAACACATTGAAGTATTTTCTGCTTTGGGAAAAAAGGGGGAAACTTGATATAATCAGAGAAAAGTATTTTTATTTCTTCAAATATAAGAAAACTGAAATCTCAAATTTTATGCTGATACTTAAGAAAGTTCTAGAAAGCAGTAACTATCTTTTGCTGAAAATCAGACAGATGATGACATCAGTTTTAGTCAAGCAAATTTCACAATAAATACATTCTATGTTATTTGGGAAAAAATTTATAGAGAAATTGGCATGAAATATGTAAAAATTATCAACCAAAATACTGTTAAAAACTAACTTTACTATAAATAATGCAACAGGACAGTTATCTTTCTATGTTTTAAAATTACTTAAAACTTATTTAACCACTTCAAAAGGACAGGAAAAGCTAAGGTCATAGAAGTGCTTGCTACAGGAAAAGATATTTTTGAACAGCTAGACTGCAACTACATTATTCTCAGTTTTCTGAAAATAAAATCCAAAACCGAAAAATTTATTATGCGATATTTACTTATATATTTTTTGTTACAATAGAAATGCTTTTATTGATTACATTAGAAGTTACTTATATTAGAATTATAACTACTAATATATTGTCTACTATTAATAAAACATTTAAACCACATTACTTAAGATTTCATTAGATACAACTTATATAAACAAGGTCCTAATTTTAATTTTGTCTAATGCCAGCTACAGACTTAATTTATCACTGTGTAGAATTCAATCAAACCGCATTCGAGACACAACTAGTAAGGTAGAACTCAATATCTGAAACGTTGTGATCAAATAAATCATTTACATATGTTAAACCACATAAACTCAACTAATTTTAATAGACAGCAGATTATATACATAGAAGTAGGGATTCATATAAAATGAAAAACATTCACAGCTTTACCATCCCTGCTTACTATAATATTAACAGGAAAAAATAAAACTTGTAGAGACATTAGGATTTTTTTTGGAAGCAGGTAAGATGAAAAATTAGCAAACGCCTTCGCCGGGAATCGAACCATGGACCTCTTGAATACCGGCCCAGCGTGCAGAACCACGACACCATGAAGGCACGCTACGAAAGTGGGAGAAGTACCTTATATACTCCCCTTTTTAAAGGGTGACTGGGGTTTTTAAGGGACCCAATCGCCAAATCTTAGGAGTGGAGAATCCTCATCCAACACCCTTTTAGTTTGGGCGCCACTGTAGAGACATTAGGATTTTTTTTTTTTTTTTTTTTTTTTTTGAAGCAGGTAAGATGAAAAATTTGCAAATGTCTTCGCCGGGAATAAAACACAGACCTCTGGAATACTGGCCCAGCATGCAGAACCACTACACCACGAAGGCATGCTAGGAAAGCAGAAGTATCTGCAATAATAATTTGCATATTTTTATTTTGTTTGCTTATATTAAAAAATAAGCACAGATTGAAAAGTTGGTGATTACCAGAATCTGTAATATAATAATACAGCCATTTGGAAAAAATTTATGAGGGAGGTTTGCTCAAACGAGTTAGTCAAAAATGTTAAAGTCTGCATTATTGGAACTAATAAAATGATGAAATTGATGACAGTTTATTTCTATGTACGAAAAACTCTACTGGAACGATTTTACCACCTTGAAAGCCCATTTATGTTAGTGGAAAGAAGAAATATTCTAAGAAATATGCATGAACTTGATGGCTCAGCTTGACACTTTTTAAAGAGAATTAGTTTCATGTATGATAAATTTTTAATGCCATTATCAGCTCAGATGTTTATTTGTTTTATGCAATAAATTCTCAACTTTATCTCAAAAAGCGTGAATGCCTTTTCTTTCTCTTTTGTGCAGCTGTTAAATTTTTATGCATTTCTTGAAATCAAAGTTCTGTTAACATAAATGTGCAGATACAGAAGAAACAGAAGATGTTCGGTTATATGTGCCATGGGGCGCTTTCTGGTTTCACACAGATAACAAAGCACCATTCCAAAACATGCGAAATCCTATCTTGCTGAATTTATTAAATAGAAATGTAAGGACTGAGAAAATTATTTTAAAGCTATTCTTGCCATGGAAGAAAGAAGAAACATTCTTTTTATTCTATGATTATGAAAATATATTTTCTGAATTCATAATTCTTTGTTAATTTTCTACAGTGTTGCTGCATCGTAAACATTTTCCTTTTTAACTGCAGTCTTTAATGTTTTAAACATTTTTCTTACTGTTGTTCACAATGTTTGGTATCTAAGTACAGTACAATTCCAGAAATCTGCAAAGCTTGGGACCAGAGGTTGTGCGGATTTTAGGACAGAAAAGATAAAGCATAATATTTTAACTAAAAGTGCAAAATGAATAAGGCATATTAATAACATTAAATTAATTATTAACATTATTGAAAATTTATTATATGCATAAATATTATTACATAATACATGAATATATATCATTGTATTATATGTACCAGCATCGAGGTTTGCTGATTTCGCCTTATGCAAAGATTTCCGGTTTCGGATTCCGGTGTTAGAATCACTGTTGCTGTACATTTCCACGCTTTTCTTATTTTTTCCGTATATCATACACAATCGTGTCGCAATTCCATACATTCTGCTATAAATTGAGAGTAGCACCTGCTTCCATCTTTTGCAGAATTTGCACTTTTTGCGTTACCATCAATGCAACATGTTTTATGTTTTCAACGTTGTAAGCAGTAAAATCATGAGTGCATTTCTTATCTGTCATTGTATTAAAAGGGCTGAAATTTAAAATACTCTTAATTTATCCACAAAATATCCGGATAAAAAAAAGGCAGCACTAAACAATCTCATGAAATGAAATAGCAAAGCTCAGAAAATAGAACAACATGAACCGTGAACTTGAACAAAGAGTTGAGTGAATCGTCTGCTTTTTTACCTTGATGCAGATTAGGGGGGGAAACTTATTTATTTTATCTAATTTTTTAACTTTTTTTATATCAATAAATTTGGTATTTCTGTTTTGACTCATTATTATTCGGTAAGTATTTTTTTCTTTGATATTTCGCACTCAATGTTGCGGTTTCCGGAACCTATAAACTGAAATTTTATATTCTGAGAGGCAACGTGGATTTCAGGAGTTGGCGTATTTCAGGTCGGCGGATTTTTGGTATTTGACTGTATTTTGATCTTTTTCCTATTTTATGCTTTTAGTGTTTACCAACTTTTTCTGTCTCTTTTTTTTCTTACCCCATTTGGTTTCATATGCCATCAGACAATAACTAGTTTTGTAAGTTAAGCCTCAAGCACATGACATTTTTTAACTGTCTCAATTTTTGGTTGAAATGCACACATCAGAATACTATTTTCAAATCTACACAAGTCAAATGTCATCTTAAATCTTCATAAATCACATTACAAGAAATATGCATAAATATTTGCTTAAAATTGAGTATGACTTGATTAACTTTGCATCGGACCATAAAGAGATGAGAAAATTGTGTGTGCAGTCCCCCGCAAGTCACTGTTTCTAAGCTGCCACGATGTGAGAGATCACATGGTCTGACATCGTAGACGCAATAATTTGTTCCAGTAGACAGCACAAGAGACATAACTTCACAACCAGTGTCAGGAGATTTAGTTTTCTGCACTGTGTCTGTCATCAAAGCCTCTCAATTTCAGGAAGGCTGACAAACCAATAATCTTGTTTTTTCCTCTGATATTGTTCCAGATATAACGAATCAGAGGATGTAAAATACAACTAAAAAATTAAGGAGGCATGACTAAGTCAGTCTGCAGATTGTTTCCAATGGAACAATATGCCAGAATGCTCCGGAACTCTCAACTAGAGAGACTTGCTGTTAGCAAGATCTTCACATAATGAGGACGGTAATCTTACCTACATTAATTGTTCTATGCTTTCCATGTTATTATATATTGTATAGAAGCTCCTCATAAATTTGTAACAAATATATTTGTAATATTTATATAATAAATGTATAACTATAAATAAATAAATATACATTCAGTGTGAACTACGAATATGATTACAGCACCACTGTTTACTATAAACCTTTTTTTGGGGGGGGGGCCTCCCCATGTTAAATCATGTCACTCTGCTTAGAAGAAAACTGCTTCTTTTTCTCTTATGTATGTTTTGCTTTCAAAGTTTAATCTTCACAACATTTGCTTTCCAGTTGACTCATATTATTTGAAATCGGTTTCCACTGACAGAGGATTTTTTTCCCCATGCTCATAGGTAAAGCTTTTAAAAATTTTTCATTTTGCCACCAAAGAAGATATTCTGCTATTAAAAATCACATTAATAAACTTATCATTGCTCCATTTCATCCTTCTGTCACTTATAAAATTGCATATTCTTCAGAAGTTCAATTTTCAAGACATTTTCACAGCACTCAATAAAACATGCTACTTGATTCTTGAAAGATTCCACCTTTAACTTAAATTCTTGGGGAATGTATAATATGTCTTGCCACTGGGGCTTGAGATACATCAGCCAATTTATACAATATTAAAATTTTGCATCACGAAATGTGAATCTTATGTCTGAAAAGGAGAAACAAACAAATCTTTGGTAGTTAATCATAACTGTAAACGTAATCACAATTCTGATTTTGCTTTTGCAAAAATTATCCATAAAGCTTCTTCTGTTGGCAAGTTGGATTTTCCTGAAGCTTTTCACTTTTACAAAAATTTCTCTTTCCTGATGCTAATAGAATCCTCTTATCTTAATTTTTTGGTTCATTACTATTTTTCTTGAAAGATGGTGCTATATTTATGTGCACTTTACTATGCTCATTGCTTGTTGATATACATATGGTCAATGCTTTTCTTATTTTGCAGTTGTTCTAAGACAAACATACATCTGCTAGTAGTTGACAGCAGAATTTTTTTTCAAAATCTGCACAAAATAAAGCTACTCTTTTGCTTAATTTTAAAACATAAAAAGGGCTTTCCATTTCAGAAGAGAATGAAACGCTAATTAGAAAAATAATGATTTTTTAACCAGTGATTTATTTTTGATTCTTATGCACGCCTCTTCAAAGAATAAAATAAGTGTAAATAAGAAAAATTATTTTCAAGCAAGATGATTACTCTTATGCCTCTCATTAGTAGCAGGCAACAGCTCAGCAGTAAAGTCGCTGAACACTGTAGTTCAGCCTGAGGTTCAAATTCTGCAAATGGGCTGACTTTATGGGCATTTTCGTGGTTTTCCTCAAGTGTAATGCGCAAATTCCCTTAGAAAGCCCTCCATGAAGGCATCCCTTCCCTTAGGCAGATAGCCCTTGAGGCTTTGCCATAATCACATAAACCAAAACCAAACCATTAGTTGCCCTTTAAATGTGGGTGGGGGGAGTATGGAATTATCATTATCTCCTGCATAAGCTGCCATAGTTTAAACAGCATGATAAGCTAGTAATTAGAAATTATCCAGTTCAAGTCCAAGTGAAAGCAAAGTTGATTTTTCTTAGTTTTCGGTCTGTTAAAAAAAAGAAATAAAACTATTGGCCCCTATAAACCATGAACTTTTCCATACTTTAATATAAATTTTACATATATAATAAATTAGTTTTTTCTACAAATCAACATAGGGACCAATATACTGAGATTAAATACAACCTTAAATTATTGGATTAATAATTTATGACACATGAATTGTTTTCTCATTTACATTTTATTTTTTCTAAGGATAAGAAATACAGATTCTCAGATCTCATGAAACTTAAAAAAGATATGAAATTTTATAACTTGAATCTTAGTGTTTTTCTCAACATTCACATTTTTCAAATTCTAATCTAGACGTCATTTTGCATTTCAACTGAACAGTAAGGATGCATTATTTCTGTTAATTGCCAATGGAATCATACATTAACAAAAAAGGACAACTATTGCAGTTTCAATAGTGTCTGAATCCCGAATCATGTCAGCTCTGAGTGTCACACTGCTTCAGTATGACAACCAGTGAAATCTGTCAGAACATTTCATGTCTAGGGAAAATATTAAAAATAATTTCTTAATTCAATCTGGTATTATTTTTGGTCAATGGTATATTTTATTTAAAAAAATCATAACAAATAATCTTACATGCAATTTGTAATTGAGCTGCATATACTTGATCAGGATAAGACTCCTTTGTACTCAAACCTTTACATAAATATATTCCAGCATCATCAGTTGTGATGAGTGAGATTTCTAAGGAACCGTTAGGATATATTTTATGTCTGAAATCATTAAAAAAATGCATGATATGCATACTCTTTCTCTTAATTTATTATAACATTTAAAAATGTATTCTTAATAGAAATAAAATATGCATTAGATTATTTACCACTTACCTACTACTATTTGTTAATAACTGGTTGCTAAAATACCATTCTTCTAATTCAGTATTATCAAATGCACAATCGAACCGAGCAGAGCTGTTTTCAGGTGTAACAACATTTCGAGGAACTACTGTAATACGAGGACTTGTGCCATCTGAAATAAATATAGAAAGATGCACAGGAAATTATTTTTAAGAGGTAATAACACAGTAAAATATACACACAATATTTAAAACTAGTAAGAAACTGTTATTTTCAAATTTATTTGGAGTTACATTTTTTACTTGCACGAGTTTAATTTTTTATAATAATTTGACTGAAAAAAATCTACTTTTAACTTCTACAAGTTTTAGAAAACTGCTTACATCATTACACAACAAATTAAATTAAGAATCCCTGCAAATAATATAAAATATATTTATGCGTTTAAGAGTTACTCAATCTCGCTTTTAATTCCTCGTCCTAAATTAAAACAATGGTGAATCCAATTGAGAGGTAATGTGGATTAAAGTTACTTGGATAATATGAAAATTAGCATTAAACGAAATGCGGGTATTTCAGATAAAAAATTTTCTTTAACTTGTAAGGTACATCACCGTATTCATGCCTCGTCCTAAACCTTAATAAAATAGTGAAATCCTGAGTGTCTGAGGTAATGTGGATTAAAGTTACTTGGATAATATGAAAATTAGCATTAAACGAAATGCGGGTATTTCAGATAAAAATTTTTCTTTAACTTGTAAGGTACATCACCGTATTCATGCCTCGTCCTAAACCTTAATAAAATAGTGAAATCCTGAGTGTCTGAGGTAATGTGGATTAAAGTTACTTGGATAATATGAAAATTAGCATTAAACGAAATGCGGGTATTTCAGATAAAAAAATTTTCTTTAACTTGTAAGGTACATCACCGTATTCATGCCTCGTCCTAAACCTTAATAAAATAGTGAAATCCTGAGTGTCTGAGGTAATGTGGATTAAAGTTACTTGGATAATATGAAAATTAGCATTAAACGAAATGCGGGTATTTCAGATAAAAATTTTTCTTTAACTTGTAAGGTACATCACCGTATTCATGCCTCGTCCTAAACCTTAATAAAATAGTGAAATCCTGAGTGTCTGAGGTAATGTGGATTAAAGTTACTTGGATAATATGAAAATTAGCATTAAACGAAATGCGGGTATTTCAGATAAAAAATTTTCTTTAACTTGTAAGGTACATCACCGTATTCATGCCTCGTCCTAAACCTTAATAAAATAGTGAAATCCTGAGTGTCTGAGGTAATGTGGATTAAAGTTACTTGGATAATATGAAAATTAGCATTAAACGAAATGCGGGTATTTCAGATAAAAATTTTTCTTTAACTTGTAAGGTACATCACCGTATTCATGCCTCGTCCTAAACCTTAATAAAATAGTGAAATCCTGAGTGTCTGAGGTAATGTGGATTAAAGTTACTTGGATAATATGAAAATTAGCATTAAACGAAATGCGGGTATTTCAGATAAAAAATTTTTCTTTAACTTGTAAGGTACATCACCGTATTCATGCCTCGTCCTAAACCTTAATAAAATAGTGAAATCCTGAGTGTCTGAGGTAATGTGGATTAAAGTTACTTGGATAATATGAAAATTAGCATTAAACGAAATGCGGGTATTTCAGATAAAAATTTTTCTTTAACTTGTAAGGTACATCACCGTATTCATGCCTCGTCCTAAACCTTAATAAAATAGTGAAATCCTGAGTGTCTGAGGTAATGTGGATTAAAGTTACTTGGATAATATGAAAATTAGCATTAAACGAAATGCGGGTATTTCAGATAAAAATTTTTCTTTAACTTGTAAGGTACATCACCGTATTCATGCCTCGTCCTAAACCTTAATAAAATAGTGAAATCCTGAGTGTCTGAGGTAATGTGGATTAAAGTTACTTGGATAATATGAAAATTAGCATTAAACGAAATGCGGGTATTTCAGATAAAAAATTTTCTTTAACTTGTAAGGTACATCACCGTATTCATGCCTCGTCCTAAACCTTAATAAAATAGTGAAATCCTGAGTGTCTGAGGTAATGTGGATTAAAGTTACTTGGATAATATGAAAATTAGCATTAAACGAAATGCGGGTATTTCAGATAAAAAATTTTCTTTAACTTGTAAGGTACATCACCGTATTCATGCCTCGTCCTAAACCTTAATAAAATAGTGAAATCCTGAGTGTCTGAGGTCTGTGGTAATGTGGATTAAAGTTACTTGGATAATATGAAAATTAGCATTAAACGAAATGCGGGTATTTCAGATAAAAATTTTTCTTTAACTTGTAAGGTACATCACCGTATTCATGCCTCGTCCTAAACCTTAATAAAATAGTGAAATCCTGAGTGTCTGAGGTAATGTGGATTAAAGTTACTTGGATAATATGAAAATTAGCATTAAACGAAATGCGGGTATTTCAGATAAAAAATTTTCTTTAACTTGTAAGGTACATCACCGTATTCATGCCTCGTCCTAAACCTTAATAAAATAGTGAAATCCTGAGTGTCTGAGGTAATGTGGATTAAAGTTACTTGGATAATATGAAAATTAGCATTAAACGAAATGCGGGTATTTCAGATAAAAATTTTTCTTTAACTTGTAAGGTACATCACCGTATTCATGCCTCGTCCTAAACCTTAATAAAATAGTGAAATCCTGAGTGTCTGAGGTAATGTGGATTAAAGTTACTTGGATAATATGAAAATTAGCATTAAACGAAATGCGGGTATTTCAGATAAAAAAATTTTTCTTTAACTTGTAAGGTACATCACCGTATTCATGCCTCGTCCTAAACCTTAATAAAATAGTGAAATCCTGAGTGTCTGAGGTAATGTGGATTAAAGTTACTTGGATAATATGAAAATTAGCATTAAACGAAATGCGGGTATTTCAGATAAAAATTTTTCTTTAACTTGTAAGGTACATCACCGTATTCATGCCTCGTCCTAAACCTTAATAAAATAGTGAAATCCTGAGTGTCTGAGGTAATGTGGATTAAAGTTACTTGGATAATATGAAAATTAGCATTAAACGAAATGCGGGTATTTCAGATAAAAAATTTTCTTTAACTTGTAAGGTACATCACCGTATTCATGCCTCGTCCTAAACCTTAATAAAATAGTGAAATCCTGAGTGTCTGAGGTAATGTGGATTAAAGTTACTTGGATAATATGAAAATTAGCATTAAACGAAATGCGGGTATTTCAGATAAAAATTTTCTTTAACTTGTAAGGTACATCACCGTATTCATGCTCGTCCTAAACCTTAATAAAAAACTTAATAAAATATGGCAATTGCTTTTGTACGTCCATTATAATTTGTTGTATTTTATATATAGTACATACGCGAAACTGGTGTCAGAGAAAAATTTACACGCCAGTTAGAGTGTCTGAATTTCACTGTAGTGTATTATTTTAACTTATGATAAATTCTATCTCTACATATAATAAAAGAAAGAGTCTGTCTGTGTATCTTTCGTTCGTGCTGCGCGTAAGCTAATAGATTGGGGGCTATGGAATTTATTGTATATATTTGGTATATAGGTGCATCTAGACAAGAGGCCATGCACCTCGAAGTGATTTTTTTCAAAATTAGAATCATATATTTTTTATTTTATCTTTTCGATTTTATCGTATCATTTTGAATAGTTTCATTCTTTTAGAAATGTGGTTTTGGCAACAGTTTTTCATTTAATGCTTTGTATACTGGACTGCTGACTGTTGAAAATATGAGATAAAATGCTGCTGTTTTTTTTTTTTTTTTTTTTTTTTTTTTCCCTTTTGATTTTTGGACGCGCAACACGCATATCGAAATCTTCTTATTCTGACGCGCAAGTGTCGTTCGAGGCACAACAGAAAGAATTTCCTTTTTTTTTTTTCCCTCTCTCTCTTTACAAGCTAATGGCAAAGAGGTTTGTATATTTTAAATTATGTCATCCACAAGACAGTATTTTGATTGGTTATTGCTTTCTGATGATAGTTTCATTCTTTTAGAAATGTGGTTTTGGCAACCGTTTTTCATTCATTTCTTTGGATACTGGACTGCTGACTGTTTTATGTTGAAAATATGAGATTTATTGCTTACTTCACTGTAAAATTTTTATATTATGTTTTAATTAAATATAATTTTAATTATAGAAAACGTTTTGCATGATTTGTTTTAGGAAACAAATTTCTTAACTTCCTTTATACAATTTGAATTCTTAAGATTTTGCAGACGGGAAGTTGGTTAATTTATTTATTAGGAAAATTAATATTTGTAATAAGGGATATTACTTATTTTATTGTAATTTTGTCATATGTAATACACTTTTTTTGATGAATTTGTTCTGCAGAGTAAAATTCCGCGCAGTTTTTAACTTTAACGTTTGGTGTTCCCTTTAGGCATTTTTCCGGTAAATTTAAAAGCAGACGAAGGCTGGCCGCGTATTTGCTAGTTAATAAATATTTCAGTTTTATAATGTTCTGCTCTTTCTGAAAGATAACACTTTGCAGTTAAAGTTCGCTATTTATATATTTTTTTCGTTTGCTTAGTTATTCTGTAAGTGCAACTCTTTTGTCATGAGCTTTGCAGTTTGTAAAGTCTACAAATATTTTCATATTATGCGGTGTAAGTCAACTGTCACAGAAGTATCTTAACGAAGAAAAACAAAAAAAGACAGAATTTAAATCAGATTCACACGAAAGCTTATAAACATTTACTTGATTTTCTGGAAGAGAAAACGGAAAACTAGTTTTTCTTAGAATTTAAACATTCGTAACTAACACTTCTGTCATTTAAGAAATTAAACGGTAAAATATTCTACTTCCAACTAAATAGTAAGCAGTTATTATAAATGAACAGAAAGGAAAACGTAGATAGTTAAGATAGCTGTGCTCAAAATCAAAATTTCCAAGAATATTTCAGAGTAATAATATGTAAAACTAATTTATTTAGCATCTCGAAAATTATACTGAAAGATCTGAAAACATTACATATTTTTCTTTTAAAAATAGTTTTGCAAATTCACATTAGTTTTTGAATATAAAATGCATTACAGGAATAAAATGCCCTGATTACTATTTTTCCTCATTAATATTTGAATACATAATTTATAGATGGTGCTAATAATATACGATATACTA